TCCTCCGGCCCCGCCCACACGCCGAGACTACCGTGCCCCCACGGCAGCTGCCCCGTTGGAACTCGGGCTGCTCCGCTCGCGGCCCGCCAGGCCGGGAACCCCGCGGGGGAGCCCCGGCGAGGGCTGCCAGGGAGGAGCCAGCGCGGAGTCACACGAGGCAGAGGGCCCTACCGCCGCGGGAGCTCCGCGCCAGCAGCGTCACCCCTCGCGCCTCTGCGCGGAAGGCCTGGGCCCTCCCTGAAGCCTCCCGTGGGAGCCCGGCCCCGACCTCCGCCCACGTCTCTTTAGCTAACGGCGAGCTCCGCGCAGAAGACGCGGGAGGCGCCAGTTCTCCGGGCCACAGAGGTGAGAGTGATGTCCGTTTCCTCCTTGGCTAAGCTGCCGCGTTCAAAGGCGTCCGTCCCCCACTCCCGAGCCCACGAGGAGAGAGCGCAAACGCGCCCCAGGCCCCGCCCACATCGCGGCCCCGAACCCCACGCCATCCTTCCCATCGCCCCCTCACATTGAAGGCGGGCAGCTGCCCTTCGGGCGCGCGGTGCAGCTCGCGGACCAGCTCTATGGCCTTTTCGCAGAACATAGCGGACGCGTCCCGGTCCCGCGGCCTCGTCAACCGTCAAGTTCCCAACCCACACGGACGCCGGGCTTTCGGCCGCCGCGCTCCTGTCGCTCTCGGTCCCTCAGCCGCAGCTCCTTGCATCCTCGCCGCGTTTTGGCGCCGAGTGGACCCAGCCAATAAGAGGGAGCCGCCGGCACCGAGCCCTACGGCGGCCGAGCGGGGACATCGAATACGCCGCGCAGGCGCACTGCCGCACCGGCGGAGCGCAGCCGCCCGGCAGTCCGGGGCCCGGCGCCGTGCTGAGCTGAGGTGCCTTTTCGGGTTCCCACGCTGCGGGCCCGGGGCACATACACTCCCGCAGCTCCCTCTTTGTTTCCTCTGGACTCGTTCGCTTCGATTAGCTGCAGCGGGGCGCCCTGCCGTCACGGGGCTTGCCGACTGGGTTTTCTGGGGAGGGTGAGGCGACACCGCCTCGTGCCGGGCGTCTCTGCGGGGCAGGGCGGCGACGTCGGTGCCTTAGAGTTCCCACGACTGTCGCCGGGGCGGCTGCGGGGCCGCGCGAGGTCGCAGCTCAACCGCACCGGACAGCCATGAAGGCAGAGCAGCACCCGAAACGCGTCCTGCCTGGCCCGGCTGAGCGCGGCGCCTCGAAGGCTCTGGGACACGGCCTCGCGGCGCAGGATCAAAAACAGGAACCCTTGGCGGGTGCAGCAGGTCGCCTTGGGAGGCCGGCTTTTTTTTTTTTTTTGAGTCGAAATCTCCCTCTTTCACTCAGGCTGGAGAGCAGGGGCACGCTCACGGCCACCGCAGCTTCCACCTGCTGAGTTCAGGCATCCTTCCTCCTCAGCCTTTCAAGTAGCTGGAACTACAGGAGTTCGCCTTAGCGCCCGGCTAATTTTTTGATTTATTGTAGAGACATCGTGTCGCCTTCTTGCCCAGGCTGGTCTCAGACCCTTGGGGTCAAGCAGTCCTCTCGCCATGGCCTCCAAAGCGCTGGGATTACAGGCATGATCCACCGCGCTGGGCCTTATTAGGCAGTCTTTAAAGAGTGAAGGGAGATGCCTATAGAAACGGAATAAACAAGAGTTTAGTGTAGTGTTTTTGCCTCAACATAGCCATTTTTGCTTAGACTTTACCCCTAACATGATTTGAATCAAGCACATGTTAGACATACATAGACAATTTTATAATAGAAAGGTTTTAGGAAGCGTTTAGACTCTTTTTTGGTTTTGTTTTTGAGTTGGAGTCTCCCTTTGTCACTCAGGCTGGAGTGCAGTGGCACGCTCATGGCCATTGCAGCCTCGACCTGCTAGGCTCAGGTGATCCTTCTGCCTCAGCCTTCCAAGTAGCTGGAACCACAGACATTTGCCACCACACATGGCTAATTTTTTAAATTTATTGTAGAGAAGAGGGCTTGCCAAGTTGCCCAGGCTGGTCTTGAACTCCTGAACTCAGGCACTTCTCTCGCCTCCGCCTCCCAGAGTGCTGGGATGACAGGCGTGAGCCACCATGCCCCGGCCTTATTAGGCAGTTTTTATTTGTTTTTTTGTTTGTTTTGAGTTGGAGTCTCACTCTGTCGCCCAGACTGGAGTGCAGT